AATCCCTATTAATTTGTATAGGGATCCCTACTTATGGTGCCCTCCAGTGGTCCTAATAGGTATGACTCCTCATTAAAATGAATAGGGCTGCAGTGGAGGATGAAGGGGGCACTCCAGGCGGAAGGCCACAGTGAAGATTGCTGGACAATGGTCATTGTTCCTCCAGGTGGGCTACACTTAGCGGGGGCGGGAACATGTCTTAAAGCAGGGGCGCCCACTATTTTTCGTCTGGAGATCTACTTTTCAAATGACGAGCTCATTGAGATCTACCAACGAAAAAACACACCTGCATTCAGGGGCGGGAGGGGGCGTGGGCTGCGCAGGCAGGCCCCTCGCCCACAGTGCGATCGCCTGCATTAGTGCCTGTGTTCCAGTCCAGTGCGATCCACAAAAATGCTGCGAGCACTAATGTGCCTGCGTTCCGAGCGCGGGCGATCGCACTGTGGGCGGTGCCATTGACTTCAATACAGCTCCACACCCCCTCCCGCACCAGAACGCAGAGAGTCGGCCGGCTTACATTCCAGTGCATTCCAGTACATTACATGTCCCGGCGTCCGGTCCTCCCGTGGTGCTCGTGTGGCCGACGTTGCACATGGGGTGTCCCGCCCCTTTCCATCTGTAGCGTCTGACACATTCAGCCGGCAGCCGCACGAGCACCGCGGGAGCATAGCCGTAGCCACCTCCTTTTGCGCCTGAGGCAAGGGAAAAAAACAAAGTTTTTTTAATTTTTTACTATTTTTTATTTTATTTTCATTATTTCTTTTTATTTATTTTACATTTTCATAATTTTTTTAAATTTTTTTTTACTTTTGGGGGGTTTCTGGGAAATATTGGGGGTCTAAAAAGCCCCCTGATATTTCCCTTTTAAAATAGAAAAAGAAATTGAGGACACAAAGTCCTGACACAGAGTCCTCAATCTCTTTTTCTGCAGTCTCTATTCTAAATGAATGGAAAGCACAGAGGCTCCTCCCCCTCACTACAGAGGCTCCTCCCCATTCAGAAAATATTTTACTATCGAGCTGTTTCTGAATGGGGAGGAGCCTCTGTAGTGAGAGGGGAGGAGCCTCTGTACAGAGTGCTTCTCCCCATTGAGAAACTCATGAATGAACGGGACGTGATGTAAATCACTTCCTGTTCATTCATTTATAACTGGGGACACCTAGCACTACGTGTCCCCAGTTATTTACAAACACCGGAGGGATCAGCCGATCGCTCCAGTGTCTGTCCTGCCGCTGTGACAGAACGGACGAGCAGTGAGGGGAGAGAGGCGCCGGCTGTCAGATCCTGGCCGAGCGTCTCTCTCTCTCTCTCCTCACTGCTCTGCATTATAGTGACAGCAGCTCCGTCCTCCGCCCTCCCCCGCCGTCGGTTCCTTCACTTCTTCTCGGATCCCCGCTGGAGAGAGCAGCGGGGATCCAGAGAAGCGGCGGGAGGGGAGGACATGGCGATCTACCAGGGATCGCTACCCAATCGACCTCGCGGGCACCCCTGGCTTAGGGTGACGGGAGGACGCTAGTTTGTGTCCTCCCGCTACCCTGAGGAGAACTATGGGGGGGAAGCCCTGACCTCGGAGTTCTCCTTTAAGAAGATTTTGTGTGGAGATGAAGGAAATCTCAGGATGGAGGAATCACTTGCCGAGTTCTTTTTGTTACATTTCTATTGCGAGGCGAGAGGATTGTGTTCATTGTCTCCGGTTCTGGTCCGGGAGAGATAATTCTCCAATATTTCGATGGCGCTGTTTATACATTTAGATTTTTATGACGAGATCCAGGATTGTGGACACGGGATGGAAGGATGCTTTCCATGTGTCAGCTAAGAATATATCTTCTCCATTAGGGATGCGCCCAGACTGAATACCGATACTTTTCCTCAAGTACTCGCCGATCCCAATTACCGATACCTTTTTTTTAGTGTCATGTGACAGTTTTTCTAAAACAGATGATTTTAGGACAATGGTGAAGCGCAGCAATACTTCTAGTTCTGCCATTGACCTCCAAGCTGTATAGGGACTACAACTCCCAGCAATACATTATATAGCAATGCAGAATACCATCAGCTATAGAGGACTACAAATCCCAGCAATGCAGAATATGAAGCTACATAGTGTGGTGCTCATCAAGGCTGCGTGGCAGCCTCTCACCTGGGCTGTGTGCGGCATTGCATGGGCACGGGCTGATGTGGGAGCATGAGGCGACAACCTGCGGCCTGACTGGCGCTGTAAGCAGTGCCACGAAGGTCCTCACAAGGCTGCCCTGTTTGGGACCTTATGGCAGCTGCCTGTGTTTGAAACCAAAGTGCCAGCATCGGAGTAGTTTCACGAGTACTCATGGACATGCCCAGTATCGGTACTGGTATCGGCGCGTTCCTTCTCTCCTGTATGAAGGGGTTATAATTGATTTTATACCCATGCTAAGGATGCAACCTCGGTCCTTGGTCATGTGGCCTGCGCACGCTCAGATCTGTAATGCTCAGCTACCTCAAAACATTACTGCTTGAGGTTCTCTTCAGAGCCCCCAGCATGATACTTTTCCCGCACACTTCCTATTCATAGCCTATTTGGCAGTGACTGGCCTAACAGATCCA